CTTCTCATCCCAAGGATTACATAGATAAAAAAGTGGTCCTGGAAAAATTAGAAGCACTTTCAAATGAAAGACATTGTTTTAACAGCCCTCCATCATACATAGAATTGAAATTTTTATTATTGACACAACTTAAGAATTAATGACAAGGGCTGACCCTGTGGCTCACTCGGGAGAGTGCGGCGCTGGGAGCGCAGTGGCGCTGGGAGCGTGGAGGCCGAAGGTTCTGATCCTATATAGGGGTGGCTGGTGCGCTCACTGGCTGAGCACAGTGCGGACGACACCAAGCCAAGGGTTATGATCCCCTTACCGGTCACACACACAAACACACACACACAAAAGGGAATTAATGACAAGACTTTTAAAAATTAATTTATTCTTTTAAAAATTTGAATAATTGTATAACACTGAGATAACTCTAATGATTCTTCAAGAGCAGATGGAGATAGCATGGATAAGAATGTACATGTTGTTATTGGAAAGGACAATAACATTATTGCTAAAAATCATTTAGTCTGGCTTTTTTGTTTGACTGATGAAACTGAGACCCAGAGAGTACAAAAGATTTATCTAAGGTCCAACAATATGTTAGTGACAGAACTAAGGCTGCCACCTGGGTTTCTCATTTCCCATCCAAGGTTCTTTACACTTACTTAGAGGGCATACTGTTTTATTTTCAGTTGCCCAATTTCTATTATTTTTTTAGTCAGAAAAGATCATGTGCTCTGGATTTTCTTTCTCTCTTGTCATGGGCAGGTGGGGTGGGGAGGAATGGGTGAGAAAAATGCAGGTCTTACAGAAATTGATGTGTCTTCTGCAGCTTAGGTTTTTTTCTCCCACTTTTACCTAGAATGTCCTGAACTCCAGCATATGAAGTGACTTGAGGGTGTCATTCAGGTTAGCTGCTTTTACCAACCTAGGTGGCATGAGGTTGGGCCTTACCAAACTGCTAGCACTCTTCAGCCCAGCACCTACTTTTGGTCCCATCTTGTCCTGCCATCATCTTGTTTACCAGGTTGACTTTTTGGTGAAGAGACTGTACAGGGCAGAAAAATCATTAAAATCTCTCCTGGCTTTTTTTCTGAACAATCCTGAATGCTGCCTCAGCAAATATAGGAGTAGGGGAAGAAAGTGACTGTTTTCTTGCTTCCCAATATACAGTGGAGCACTAGATTTGACTCCCAGGACTTTGGAAGTTATGGTTACACCAGGTTTTAATTTTTATTCTGTCCTCTCATTTTCCACCTTCATATTTTCTTTGCTTATATCTGGAAGACCTCAAGAGGTTAATTAGTAGATAAGGGGTGGCCTGGTCCAACAGAATTGCAAGTAATAGATTCTTCTAACTCTGTGATCCCAAGTCATTCTGTTTCTCTCCGATACCAATTTTTCCAGTAACAGAAAATAATCACTGTATGCTCGAATGAACTGCAAATGATCCACAGTTATTTCAGTTTAGATAATTTCTATTCTACTTCAAGTTTCACCCACTCTTTCCTCTGTCATCTCCATTCTATTCTCAAGTCCATTTGGTGAAATTTTAAAATTTCAATACTAGATTTCTGTCCTAAAATTTCTACTTGAAAAAATAATTTCAGTTTCTCTGCTGAGATTTACTGTCCCCCACCCCCCAGCATATTTTCTTATACGTCATTGAGCTTAGCTGTAATAGCACTGTCAATATCCTTGTCTGATAATTCCAACATCTGGGTCATCTTGGAGTTGCCCTCTACTTATTGTCTTTTCCCTTGCAAGTGAGTTTAATTTTTCTAGTTTTTCATGTAATTCAGGATTATAGTCTGTACATTGTGAATGTTATATTGTGGAGACTGGTTTCTATTGATGTTTTTATTTTAGCAGTCAGTTACCTCAGTGAGACTTAAAACTGCAAACTGTTACCAGCAGCAGTTGGCAGTTCAAACTGCAGTCCAATTCTTTTGTCCTTAGCTGAGGTCTTTGTATTCTGCTCTATGCACGCATGGTTCAGGAGTCAGCCAGAGACTTGGGCAGAATTTACACATAGAACCTGGGGCTTTCCTTCCCTGGCTTTCTTCTTTCTTCCCATTATCTGTGGCTGCCCTGGGTTCTGTCTTCTGATTCCTCAGGACCAAAAGCCCAGGGTTTGTTTTTTAATTGGAACTTCAGCTGGACCACCCTTAGGCCAGAGCTCCAAAAATGGGGAATTCATCTCATGCCAGTCCCTTCTTCCAATTTTCAACTTCTCTCCAAAATCTGTCAGCTTTGTTCACTTCAGGTCATTGCTTTTTGTATTTTATCCAGAGTTTATAGTTGTTATCAGTGAGAGGGTCATACTGGAAGCAGAATTTCCTACTAGCATTTTTATACATTACTTTGTTCACTTTAACTTGCTTTGTAACTGTGGGCAATTCTCTTCTCTCTGGGACTCAGTTGCTCCTCTGGAAAATTGAGGTGGTTGGACTCTCCATGATCTGTAAGAGTCCTTTCATCTCTGCTTCTAAGCGGACAGGTACATACACATGCATTACTACCACTATTGCCATCAACAGTAATAACAAGCAGCACCAGGAGAGGTGCTGAGGGAAGTGATGGGGGTGGATCAGTCAGGGTGGAAAGCTGTCTGAAGGAGCAGCACTAAAGAGTTTGAGGATGTTTACAGTCATCCTCTTGTTTCTGGGGACAGAGGGCCAGTATGCTGAGGATGCAAGAAGTAAATGGCATTCAGAAGGAAAGCATAGAAATCACTTGCTGCTTGCTTCAACCCCTTAGAAATAAGAAGAGAACGTAGACAGTTGAAAACAAATCAGGATCATCTGAAGTTCCTGTTTGTTTGACTTTTGGCAGTGCATTTCATCCTGTTTTGAAGAGAAAAGCCCCTTGGCCCTTAGTAACATGTCAGCAAGTTTGGCAGGAGGTGGTGGGTGCTGGGGCAGTGGCTTTCAGCAGGGTGCTGCTGTCATTGTTGGGGCCACAGAGACCTTAGTGGAGATAGACCAGATTTATGTGGCCATTTTGTGGAGTTCAGAATTTTTATGTAGGAGAGATTTTAGGTGTGTAAGGTGGGTGCAAAGGGAGGAAGGAAACAGGTGGTAGGGAAGGACAGAGAGTCTGTGAGCCTGTCCTGAAACTATTTGAATAGCAATTATTTTACTTCCACTGATTCTTTTTTTAAAGTGGGGGGAGGGGTACAGGAATAAAGCTTCCCCTGCTCCTACCCAAGCCAACTCTTGGGTGCTGTATCTGATATAGATCCTTTTTATACTTCTTTTCTAGCTATTTCTGTTGCTTATCAAGAATTCTTTTCTCTAAAATAAATACAAAAGCAAAGATACAAAAAGATTAAAAAATTAAAAAATAGAAAACACAACAACAACAACAACATTCTTTTCTCTTCAGGTCTTATTGGCTTGAGGCTTGAGTTATTCCTGTTGTCTTCGTCTTTTAAGCTATTAAAATAAATTATCATGTTGTTATTTCTCCATCTTTTTTTTTTTTCTTTTCCTTTTTTGTCTTTTTTCGTGACTGGTAACGGGATCACAACCCTTCATGTTGCGCCTGCACCGCGCTCAGACCAGTCTCTATATGGGATCCGAACCCTCGGCGGGAGCGCTGCCGCGCTCCCAAGCGCCGCACTCTACCGAGTGCGCCACCGGGCCGGCCCGTTATTTCTCCATCTTAATCCTAGCCTTCTAGCTCTCTAGGAGGATAGAGGCAGGATGGATTCTATTTATATGTATATGTGTTTTGGGGTTGGTGGAGGTATGAATATTGGACTAAAGGCACCAACAGTTTTGGAAGGAGGTCACAAGGTGGTCTGAAGGAATAAGCAGTCGTGTTGAAAGGAGGAGATAGGTTGAATGTAAGACCATGTACAAAAGCTTTTGGTTTACCACTAGCTTAGAAGCCACCTTTCCATTCTTTCTCAAGACTAGGATAGACAGTAAGTTTGGTCTAGATCTCCCACCTCCAGAACTCCTCTCTAATTTTAGGGGTAAGAGTCAATGGAGTGGTAGGCTTTTCAACTCATCTGTAGAAGGCTGCTTGTTACAAAACTGGAGGGTAGGGCCGGCCCGTGGCTCACTCGGGAGAGTGCGATGTTGATAACACCAAGGCCCCGGGTTCGGATCCCATATGGGGATGGCCGGTTTGCTCACTGGCTGAGCGTGGTGCTGACAGCACCAAGTCAAGGGTTAAGATCCCCTTACCGGTCATCTTTAAAAAAAAAAAAAAAAACTGGAGGGTAAGTTTACAGACAGAAAAGTTCTATTTTTATTTCTAATTGATATTGGGTGGTTCAGGGCCCTTTTGAGGAGGCCCAAGTCTAGAAGGCAACAAAATACGAGTCAGCATGGTAAAAGGGGCTTTTGTAGTCAGACAGACTTGGCTTTTAACCCTGACTGTCATTTACTAGCAAGCTATAAGACCTTGGACAAGTTACTTGACTTCTTGAAATTTAGATTATTTATAAGATGGGGTAACATTATCATGCTATTGTCTTATATAAAACATGAAACATGGTGGTTGGGGTGTGATAGATACTCCACAGATATATATATATTTTTTCTTACCCATCTTTCAGAACATCTTATTTTTAGTAGAATCCTGGTTTTATCCCTAAGTAATTGTGTGATTCACCCTTTCCAAGCTTCACTTTTCTTCCTTAAAATAAGGACATTTAACTGGTTAATTTCTGAGATGCTTTCCAGCTGTAAGATGTCATGTAAATTTTTAGACTGTTGGGGAATGTATAGGTCTGTTAATTTAAGGAAAGACAATGTATTCTACCCTGGGACCATATCATCTGATAGGAAAGAGGAAGTCTCCTAGAGCCAAGCTCCTCCTCTCCCCTGAGAGAGACATAGCCAGCTTCCTTGAGAGTCAGGATCTAGACTTAGTTCTTACCTTGTCTCTTTTCTGACACTGCACTTTTTGTGAAAGTCTTTGGGATAGACCTTCGGGTCAGCTCAGTCTTGGTGTGATTCATACTTTACCTATTTCTTCCTTTCTGTTTATATTTTATCCAGGTCAAGAAGAAACTGCCATTGAAAGATAGTGAGTGACTGTTTCCAAAACAGCAAGCATCGGGGGAGCAGCCAGAAATGTTAACGGGAAGCTTAAATTACCTAAATGGTAAATATGTTGTACAGTGAAACCTGGGCATACTCAGAATTTGGTGTTTTCTGAAGTCTTTACAATTTTTCCACCACTGCAAGGGAGGGAGGAAAGTCAATATTTGTTGATGACCTATTATGAACCAAATATTATGCTAAGTACTTCACATGTTTTCTCCTTTAATCAACCAACCAACCTCATGAGGGTAAAAATTCTTGCATGAAGCCGACATCCTTAAGTAGTTGGCCTAGCAACCATTTACTGAATATTTACTATATGTCAGGTGCAGTCCTGTTTGATACACATTATCTTTCTTAATATTTACACTAATCCTGTGAGGTAAGTGCTGTTATCATCACCACAAGAAAATGATCTCAAAGAAGTTAAATAACATCTCCAAATTAACACAAGTAATAAATGGTAGAACTAGTTTTTAAACATGGATTATTTTCATTACACTATAATGTTTCGCCTTTGAGAAATTTACTTTTTGGTTGAGGCAGTGACTGATTTCACCTTTAAAAAGAGAAGCAAGGGCCAGCCTGGTGGCACACTGGAGAGTGTGCCGCTTGGGAGTGTGGTGGCGCTCCCGCCGAGGGTTCGGATCCCATGTGGTGACCGGTTCCTGCTCACTGGCTGAGCGCGGCGCGGGCGCAACACCGAGAGTTGCGATCCCGCTGCCAGTCCCTGGTATGGGTGTGACACCGAGGGTTGCGATCCCGTTACCGGTCAGTAAACAAAAAGACAAAAAGGAAAAAAAAAGAGAGAGAAGCAAAACAAACAAAAACAACAACTTTTGATCAACTAGCTCCTTTTCCTAGCCCTTTCTGGCTTTTGTGTGCCAATATTTTATTGGTTGGTGTTGGCCAAGTCAGTGGAGAGCACTAATGAAATAGGAGAGAGAGAAGTGAGAATTCAAGCAGGGAACGGCCAAGAGACATAGGGGTCTTGGTTGCCACTGGTAGCTGGATAATAGAGAAAGGTTCTCTGGGAAAGTAGTGTAATAGGGCCACTCAGAATGGGTGTGGGAAATGGGCTCTAGTTATAGGAATGACTAGACATAGGAAAGGAATAATAACAAGCCCTTTCGTTCTCATGTCAATCCCTCGTAGGGAACAGGTTTCAGGGATAATATAGAATTCTACTTGAAGGAGTGGGAAACCTCAAGGTAAACTCTTGCCTTGTTAATTGATTCAGGATTCTTGTTCTGTTCCTTTCCCTGGAGCATTTTTCTTATCTCAGGGAACTGGGTTTTGAAATTAATTTCTGGTTGGGTGAGTGGCAGCTTGTATTTGGTCTATTTTTATTGAAGTACCAATGTTTTTAAATATAGTCGGTGAAATTTTGGGGAAAATAGTCATTCCCACCAGCAAAACATATTACATGTACCTGTTATACATAGAATACTTTGCTATATACTGGGGCTGATGTTCTGATGATAAAAATTGACCATTTACTATATATACCTAGTGCAATTCTTGGAGCTAAGTATATAGCATTAAACAAAATAGAAAAAGTCCTGGCCCTCAAAGATTATATTCTAATGTGTAGAAACTGATAAAAATAAATGAATAGCTAGATATAAACAAACAGGTAAATAGAAAAATAACATCCACTAGGTGATACCTGCTAAGAAGAAAAAAGGCAGGGTTAAGAGAGTGATGGGGATCTGAGAGATTGCCACTTTATACAAGGTGATCAGGGAAGGCCTCTGATGAGGTGATCTTTTAAGCTAAGATCTGAAAGAAGTGGGAAATCCAGCCAGGGAGCTATCCAAGAGAAAAGCATCCCAGGCACAGGGAACAGCAGGTATAAAATCCCTGAGATCTGAGTGTGACTTGTCGTGTCTAAGGACACACAAGGAGGCCAGTGTGGCTGGTGTAGAGTAGTAGGGAAAGAACAATAGGAGATAAGAGAAAAAAAGGCACGGGACCCAGGTCATATGGGGCCTTATAGACAGGGTAACACTGTTGGAGTGCATTTTATTCTAAGTGAGGTAGGAGCCACTAGAGTTTAGAGCAGAGGGCTGATATGATCTGACTTATAGTTTTAAAGGCTTATTCTGGTTGCTGTGGGAGAATGGACTGTGGAGAGTGGGGAAAAATGGGCAATGGCAGGAGCAGGGAGACCAGTTGGGAAGCTTTTGCAGTAATTAGTGGTCCAGGGGAGGGATGATGGTGGCTTGGACTGGGGTTATATTTTGAAGGCAGAGTCAAATTCTAATTTTCCCTGTAGAGATGTTTGATTTATCTGGAGTTAACCTCTCAGTCATGCAGGTTTGAGGGTGTTATTGGAAACTTGACACTGATTTTTGGTAAAATTCTAAAATTGATTGATCAAAGGATGAGAACACAGTGACCCCTAGAAGCCAGCTTGTGTTCAGTAAATCATGCTGATAACAACTCTGTTTTTTCCTTTAAGCTTTGCCATGATTTTATTTAAACTATAGAATCAGTACAAGTTTATTATAGAAATTTAGAGAATAGAGATAAGCAAAAACAAAAAAAAATCATACCATTCAGTGATAAGTACCAAATAAATAGCACTTCGATATATCAAGGCATTTCAATTTTATTTTATTTTTTTGTGGTTGGCCAGTAGGGGGAATCAAAACCTGTGTGACCTCGGTGTTGCAAGGCTGTACTCTAACCAACTGAGCTAACTGGCCAGCCTGCATCTCATTTTTGAAAAGGTTCCTAAGCTGATGTTTGTTGTTGTGTGAACATTGTAGACTGATGTACACAAACCTAGGTGGTGTAGTGTACTATACATCTAGGTTCTACAGTATAGCCTGTTGTTCCTAGGCTACAATCCTATGTAGCAGGACTGCAAGTTGCTCAGGGTGAGTTAGTGAGTGATTGTGAAGGCCAAGGACGTTACACTACTGTAGACTCCATATATACTGTACACTTAGGCTACACTGAATTTATTTTTAAAAAGTTATTGTTCAGGGCCGGCCCCGTGGCACACTCGGGAGAGTGCGGCGCTTGGGAGTGCAGTGGCGCTCCCGCCGCGGGTTCGGATCCTATATAGGGATGGCCGGTGCGCTCACTGGCTGAGCGCGGTGCGGGCGACACCAAGCCAAGGGTTACAATCCCCTTACCAGTCACAAAAAAGACAAAAAAAAAAAAAAAAAAGTTATTGTGCAATGACTTTATGACAGCTACGATGTCACTAGGCAATAGGAATTTTTCAACTTCATTATAATCTTATGGGACCACAGGTGTGTATGCAATCTGTCATTGACCAAAACATTGTTATGTGCTCATGACTATATTTAGACAATGAACTGAAACTCAGAAGTTACAATGCAAAATAAATAAGTAAGTAAGTAAGTAAGTAAATAAATAAATAATTTAAGCTAAAACTTGCATGGCACTTAATATGGACCAGGTACTAGTCTAAACACTTCATGTATTAATTCATTTATACTTAGCATAACCCTATAAGGTAGGTATTGAAGCATAGAGAAGTGAAGTGACTTATCCAAGGTCACACAGCTAGTAAGTAATAAAGTCAGGGTTTGAGCTTAGGCTGTCTGGCTCCAGAGTCTGTAATCTTTACTCACTGCATTATATTGTCTACAAAAGAAATAAGAATTAAGCCCCATATTTAAGTTATTAAAAATTAATTAGATTTAACAGTTTATTTGAAAAAAAATTAGTATGAGCTTACAAACTGGTAGTGTGGCTGCCAGATTAGCTCATGTAGTCTTGGGCTTCATTATTAGAACTGAATACACCAGGTCATCCTTCAAATCCACTCTTACCCCTTTACCCCATTGCTACTGTCCTGGTTCAGGCTCTCATCCTGTCACTTGCCTTGACTATTACAGTAGCACCCTAGCTTATCCTGACAGAATGGTCTTTCTAAAACCACAGTTCTAATTGTGTTACACTCTTGCTTAAATCCCTTTGTCCAAAACAGTTTGCAAATTTGTTTCCCATATCCACTTGCAGGTATGTCAGTATATGTTTTGGAGGGTCTACACAGTGGTGTTCTTTTTATTTCTTCTTCTTTTTTAAAAATGTGAATTATTTGGCTACATTTAAGAGATTTCATATAAAAGTAGGGTATGAACTCCCCTCTTAGCCATAGTCCTACCAGGCCCCTGTCATTCATTTACATTATTGACCTGATCTCTTTGGCATGTGTGTTTGCAATCCTTGGCGCATAAAGGGTAAGCATCTTTCCTGGAATGTAGTGCCCGGATCTGCAAACAATCCGCTAGTTGAAAATGATCCCCTAGATATAGTTTGGTCAATACAGAATAAAATAAAATCATTGCCTTCATTTATTTACCAAACATTTATAAGGTTTCTACCTTGCCCCATCATTGTATTTAGTGCCCAGAACAGAAAAATGAAGATACCACAGTTCTTGCTCTCAGTAAAGTATGACGAATATATAAACAAGTAAGTATCATGGACACAATGGTAGAAATGTCTACGAAGTTTAGGATGGTGCATCTCTATTGTGAGGAGGACAGCTTGAAAAGATGTTGGAAAACAGATGATGCATTGGAAGATGTTCACCATCAGAGTGATGTTGGGGGGCCTTGAAAGGAAGGGGAGAAGGGAGATAATGGAATTCTAAGTGTTCCTCAAACATTACAAACTCAGCCTCTGCACTTGCTGTGAGATTGGAAGGGCCTCAAAGCTGCCACTCAAACCTTATCAGTTATTTACTGTGTCCCCTTGTGCTTCTTGTGTCAGCCATGTGGAATTAAAGTTCCCCAAATGCAACGTTGTTTTTTTTGCCCACCCTTCCCATCTACTCCTCTTCTTCTGTCCCCACTCTCCTTCCCTCCCTCTCTTCCTTCCTTCCTATAATTATTTTCTACCCTTTATGTGCCAGATACTGTTCAAAGTGCTGGGGATACAGCAGTGAAAAGCAACTACAAACACAATCTGACCTTATGGATCTTATATTCTGGTAAAAAAGAGTTAGACAGTAAATAAATTCACAAGGAATCAGGTGGTTAATTGTGCTGAGAGGAAAAATAAGTAAGGGTATCT